GAGTTTTCCGTGGGAGCCAGGCCCGGCCTCGGGATCGAAGACGTTGATTTCTGGTGCAGGGACCCAGATTTGTCTCTGCAAGAGGCCTTCGTAGGCCAAGTCTACACCGACGGTAGTTGCGACAACTCACTACACCCAGCTTACCGTGCGGCTGGATTCTCTGTAGTTGCCCTGCGTGAAGACGAGCCATTCGCCATTCTCACGGGACAGGTGGGGCAGCAGTTTCGACAGACCTCAGGAGCTGCAGAGCAGCTTGCGATTCTTTTAGCTTGTCATGCATCGCCGTTGATAACTCATGTGCACACGGATTATAAAGCCGCTATAGACCTCCATCTGGCTCCTCGCTATCCTCGCAGGTCCCCGATGAGCGGCTTCAAGGTCTTGGCAGGCGCGTGCCGCGTCCGCCCTAGCAGTTGTTTATGCAAGGTGAAAGGCCACCAGAATCTCGAAGCCGAGTTTTCTTCCCCCGAGGAACGGACCCATGCCATCGGGAACGATGCTGCCGACAAGGCGGCAAAGCAGGCGGCCCAGAAGTTGGCCCAGCCCAGCAGGTCCGAGGTAGAATCCCACGCGAATCAAACCCAATTGCTCGGCCGATTTTTACGTTACCTGGCTCGAATCCTCCCTAAGTGGCCCGCCTTGGCTCCTAAGAGAGGCAAGAAGGGCCTCGAGGCCCCCACGAGTTCCAACCCCCCCATCGGAGCCGCGTCCGCTCCTCATGTCTGGGGCCCTGGGACCGACCCTCTGCCTCCTCCGCTCCCTCCTCCGCCGCCTGCGGTTGGGTCAGAGGTTGCGGACGCGACTCACAACTGGGAATATATAAGGGGTAAATGGTTATGCACCGTTTGCCGAGTGACGGCGAAGTCTAGCCAATCTCAGATTGCCCGTCAGAATGAGAAGTGCCCAGGGTATTGTGCTGCTATGGCTAAGCTGGCCCAGGACCCGCAACGGCACAATCTCCTTTGGTTCGAATATCTAGACAATTCGTCAACCCTGATTATCTGCAAAGATTGCGGCTCTTATATGGAGCAAGGCAGGGGGCTAAATTCGGTGTGTTTACGTCAAGGGCCGCAGAGTACAGGTGCCGCCGACCGTCTCTCTAAGGTTCTCAGTTTAAGACACCCGAAAGGGGGGAAGAATTCACCAGTTGTTTTCAAACCCCCTGTCCCCCTGGCCCAATTTTACCGCCAGACTCTCAGGGATCTGGCAGCAGCATCAAGCTCTGCTGCGGGGGCTGCTTCCTCCTCCTGAAGAGCTCGGAGGCCCAGGCCTCTGTCTCCGCGCTGGGGCGCGGTGGATCTCTGACATCATCCCAAGCTGTGCGCTGGTCCCTGTCCTCCTCCTCCTCCATATCCGCATCCTCCTCCTCCGTCTCCTCGTCCTCATCCTCCTCCTCATCATCATCACCATCGTCGTCTTCGTAATAGTGCTCTTATTATTACTGTTCCTCCTCTTCCTCCTCCTCATCATCATCCTCCTCCTCCTCATCTTCCTCCTCCTCCTCCTCCTCCTCCGCCACTTCCTCCTCC